CAAGGACTCTTGAGGCAGCACATTTCAAAAGGAGCCTTTGATTGAAAGGAATGGATTGCAAGACAAAAGCAAAGCATGCTCTGAGTTCCCCCCAGGCAATTCCGTTAGGATAAAGTGGTTTGAAACCCCTCCTCTGAGTTGGATGCTGAATCCACAAGTGCGAAGATCTTGAGAAAGAGATGAGGATTCCTTCCCATGTGTTTCTTCTGTGAGACTTCCAAACTGAAAGAGAACAGATGCCCCCACCCCCCACCCCGTACTGTTGTGACCCAGGCCCAAGTAGGTAGTAGTTGATGCAAACGGTTCAAAAACAAACAGACTTTATTAGAACAGATGAGAATTAACTCATTCTCAGTGTAGTCCAAACTAAATTAAAACAATCTCTTCATAACAGAAATTCTTCAGTCTAATCACCAACCTTGGTATAATTAGGCAAACTGCCAAAGGCTTCTCTTGGCAAAAGTTCAAAAGCAGAAGACGCCGACAAGAGATAAATGCAGCAAGACAAGAACAAGTCTATCAATGTTTTCCGACAAAGAACCCAAGAGCCGTTGCTGGTCTTTTAAGCCTTATGGGAGGGGCCAATCATCTCTTGGCCCTACTCCTGAGTCGTCCTCTCTGCTTGAGCTGCTCTTGCCTTCTGGCAGCTCTTCTCATGCGTGCACTAGGAACAGGCTCCTCCTGTTCCTCTGCCTCTCTACTGTCAGCCACTGGAGGCTCCAGAGTCCGCACATTACTCCCCGATGTCCCTGGCCCCATCTCTGCCTCCGACACAGAGCCCTCATCCGGGCTTTCCCCAGCCTCCAGGACTGGCCCACGTTCTTCCTCAGCCTCCTCACTGTCTGACTCCGCTGCCAGCTCCACAGGCTGCTGGCGGACCACAACATGTCCATCCCCCAAAGTAAATCCAAGCACAGGGCAGAACAGGCGACAGAGTAAAAGTTATAAACTAGGGAATTACAGGATACGTAGGAAAACAGGATGAGAGCCATAAGTGAGTAAAAGGATCCGGGGTCCCCTCCCCACTTGAATGGCAGTTTCACATAGGGACCTGATGTCAGCTTTGGAAGCCACGTTAGGTACTGACAGATACACTGCTGTCATGTCACCTCTAGTCCTTTTCACTAGGCTGGCCATAGTCCTAGTCATTGTTACCAAAACAGGGAAGATGGCTGCAGCCCAGGTCTTTGCTTGGAAGACTGTGCGGTGTGTTTACCTCAATTGAAAATGGGGATGTAAAATGGATCAAAATAAAAAGGGCAACATGGTAAGAAGAACTTCAGCTATTTGGTTGTGGATAAATGAGAGTTTTACAGTTGACCCAACTTGCCATGCCAGCCACTCTGAGAATGGGCAGGTCACCTCTGTGGCACACATTTTGTGAGTGTGTCAATAAAAGCATTTCAGACGTTCTCCGGCACACGCAAAAATGGCCTCCTCTCGATTTTGATCTGGAACGGACAAATGACTCCTTCAAACCACCATAAGGCCAGGATATGAAAAGGAGAAGGCCCACTCATATAACACAACTGAATTAGTTCAGAGCAAGGTGAGGTCCGTCTGGGCTGAACAGGCAGTTTGAGATTGGAGACTTTCTGCTCTAGTCCCAGAAATCTCTTTATTTTAAATGATTTATAGAGCCACCCGTCTCACATGAATGACATACCAGACTCCATGCTCACAAAGCACTAGAAACTTGAATTTGATTTGGGAATTAATCTCTCCCTTCAATGGCTGGGGTAAGATTTTTATTTCACAAATAGGAAAGCTTACACATTTTTTAAACAGAAATTGTAAATCCTTTCAACTGGTGCAGAAAGTAATGTTAACACTATAACTATTTTAGCTATTTTCTATAAGCTGTTTGACGACACTATTTTCTTTAACGTCCAATTTCACTTCATCTTCCGATCTCTCTGCTCTGCGTCTCCAATAGATTTGCTTAAGGCTGACTTTTATCATTCTTTGCTTTTAATTTCTGTACATCTCATGGATCACACTCTACAGAGCTAAAGAACTTTTTCTACAGATAATTTATCTTTTTTTTTTTTGATGTTCACTTTTGATTTTTTTTTATTATTATTATTATTATTTATTAGATTTCTATACCGCCCTACTCCCGAAGGACTCAGGGCGGTGCACAGCCAAACAATAAAAACACATACAATACAAAATTTAAAAAATAGAATAAAATCAAATTAAATAATTTTGGCCCCGACAAATTTAAAACCCCAAACTTTTAAAACCAATTTAAAATTGAATATATAAATACTAAAAAATATTTAAAATTTTAAAAATCTTTTATAAAAGAGGGGGAAAATTAGGCCAGGCCGGCCTGGTGAAATAGTAAGGTCTTTAAGGCGCGGCGGAAGGTGCGCAGATCCGGGATCCTCCGTATCTCTGGGGGGAGCTCGTTCCAGATAGTAGGTGCCCCCACAGAGAAGGCTCTCCCCCTGGGGGCCGCCAGTCGGCATTGTTTGGCTGACGGCACCCGGAGGAGCCCCTCTCTATGGGAGCGTACCGGCCGGTGGGAGGCTATTGGTGGTAGTAGGCGGTCCCGCAAGTACCCGGGTCCTAAGCCATGGAGCGCTTTAAAGGTGGTAACCAAAACCTTGAAGCGCACCCGGAAGACCACCGGGAGCCAGTGCAGCTCGCGCAGGAGAGGTGTTACATGGGAACGCCATGTCGCTCCCATTACCACCCGCGCGGCCGCACTCTGCGCCAGTTGGAGCCTCCGGGTGCTCCTCAAGGGGAGCCCCATGTAGAGAGCGTTGCAATAGTCCAGGCGGGAGGTGACAAGGGCATTTTTCTTCCATCAAAGTCTAAATTTTACTTTGTTGTTGTTGTTTTTTAAATATATTTTTAAATATTCCTTTGTTTTCTGTGACCCTTCATTCCTTCTGATTCTGGGCTGCATCTGAACAGGATTTCCTAAAAGAAAGCAGATTTCACATTCAAATCCTCCAGTTCTTTCTTTTTCTCTTTAAACATTTTATTATTTATAGAATTAAATACAAAAATACAAAATCAAAAAAGAAGAGACGGGCGGGGGGGAGAGAAGGGGAAAGGGAAATGAGGGGGGAGGGAGAAAAGAAAAAAAAGTGCTGACCAGACATCCTCTGTTCAAAAAAAAATAAAGCATTAAAATTGAACCTCTTTACTTTTCCATAAAAAAATAAAGGGTTCCCTAAAGAAAGCAGATTTCGCATTCAAATCCTCCAGTTCTCAGGGAAGACAAAAATCCCGCCACTCTTTCTCTCTAGTTGCTTCTATTCCCGCCCCCTTCGTCATCACAGCCCTGTAGCCAATCAAACGGAGGAAAGAGACGGTTGCCTGGGAGCTTCCCTGCCCTCAGCCTGATGGAGAAGAGCTGAAGGAGCCAAGCCCCCCAAAAAGGGGGGGGTGTCAAATAAAGAGCAAAATTCAGAGCTTTGGGGGGGAGAGAAAGAGGCAAAATCTCCCAGAATTGCCGAGGGAGGGGGGCTTCCCCAGAAAAACCCCTTCCCCAGAAAAGGCTGCAATGAAGAGGCTCTCCTCAGCTGGGGGCTCTGGAGGGGCCACGGGGGACCCCATCTTCCTCATAGTCACGGAGGGTCCCTTCCATGGTGAGGCCAGCCCCCTTTTCCTCTAGGGCAACCCCAGATCCCCCTTGGAAGACCCAGCCCTGCATAGCTTCTCCCCCACAGGAGCCTCTCCAGGAAAGACACGGAGCCCAAGCGAGGCTGGAGAAACCCCAGGGGCTGTGTCCCCCTAACATTCAACCCTGGGACCCATAAACCATGTTAGTCTGTTCCCAGGAATGCCCCAGATCCCCTCCTCCTTCCTGGCCATCCTGGGCTTTCTCCGTGGGTCTGGGCTTTGCTTTCCCCCTGAGTGCCCCATGCATGGAAAGAGGTGGCTGAGCAACATGGGATATGGTCTCCCCCCTTCCCAGGACTCAGAAGATGGAAGTTGGATTTTGCAGATCAGCTTTCCATCTGCAACACGAGGATCCTGAGCTCCCCTTCCCTCCTTTCGTCCCTCCCTCCCCGCCCTAAATGGGGAAAGAGGCAGCCTTGATTTCTCCATCTCTTTTCACTTGGCTTTCTCTAATTTCTCTCTCTCCCTCTCCCTCCCTCTCTCTCTCTCCCCCTTTCCCCCCTCCCTCTCCCTGTGATTTTTTTTTTAAATCCGCAAAGTTCGAATAACTACTTTTTCACTAAAGTTGATTTTGTTCTTAGAGACTGGCTGCACTATTGCATCAGCCTTTTTGTGTGTTGCCCTTGAGCATTAACTTTCAAAATAAAGTAAATTTTAGCTCCAACTCAGCTGGCAGCTATTTCAGATCTGTGGCAGGCTCTGGCATTAACTGGTCCCTGGAGTTTTGTCTTTCATCACTATGCAAACAAATATCAGATTTATTTGTTATTTCAGCCACTGGTGCCATGTATTCACTGCTTGGAGCTCCCAAAACTCTCAATTCTAGATGACCGATTTAATTCCATCTCTGCTCTTGTTATTTTGAATCACATGGGGATTATTTCCCTTTCATTTCCCTCCAGAGAAATGCCCAACGATCTCTGACTGCAAGAACTAGCTGAATTATCCAGGGATCCCTCCTGAGAGGGAGAATTATGATAAAAGTTTCAGCTCTGCTCTTTGGCCGAATCCTTCAGGGGAGACTTTGGGAAGAGAAATATGGAGTTTGGGGACAGGCAGAGTCTGTGCTCTTGAATGTATGTCTCTCTCCTTTCCAGATGAAGCTGAGTGTTTTTCTGTGTTTCAATGAGGAAAGCATCTGGATATTCCACCTTGTGAGAGTCCTTTGATTCTTCTAAATCTTCTTTAGAAACAGGAAAGGGATTCATTGATTCACGCCATGAATGATGGACCTCCTGCTTCTGCTTCTGATGCTGCTTTTGTCCCATCCAGTCTCTGGGAAGCTGAGAATGAAATGCCCGCTGAGTTCGGAGAACCAGGATGGAAAACAACCACAGAGCTACTACAGACCAGGAGACCATCTAATTGGTATAGTCATCAGTGGAAGGGAAAGATTACATACAAAGTTGTTTTTTAACGTGGCTCCTTCTCTTCAGTTTGATTTCCATGATCTGTAAGTCATTCAGGGTGATGGAGTTGCAGTCCCTCCATTCTAACACTCTCCTTCTTTTGGGGTGTTTTTTTTCTTCATTTTTTCCTATATTGGGGGATATATCTAATTTCCTGAATGATTTTTATTTTATTTATTTATTTAATTTAATTTATATACCGCCCTACTCCCGAAGGACTCAGGGCGGTGAACAGCCACAAGATAAAAGTACATCATACAAAAGTTAAAAACCATTTAAAAGTATATTAAATAAATTTGGTCCAATAAATAATTTTGATTTCCATGGCTTCTCTCTTTTGTCTGATTTTGTGAAAGAGACTCAAAAAGGGGTCTGAAAAAAAGCTGAAAGGGCTGCAGATTATTTTCCTCTCTCCCTTCAATCCTCAATTTATCACTTGGATAATGAATTTTATTTAAAGTAGTGGTGGAATCAGTTGTAGTTGCCGTACCTCAGCCCATTTCCATACTTGTGTAACTGATCATTGCTTTTGGATCAATGTTGATTTAAGGCTCAGTAGGCTTCTGGAGGATTATATAATATTATATATAACAAAAGTATTTGTTGTGGCTGTTGATTATAATAACTTTTTTTCAATAGGACTTCTTACGAATTTTTTTATTGCTTAATATACATTTTCAACATTCAATTGGTCAACAAGAATTCCCATCTCTTGCACAACCTCACACTGGGCTACAACATCCATAACAACTATTTGAGCACTTTCCGCACTTCAGATGCCTTGCTGGATATTCTCTCCACTGGAGAAGCCAATGTCCCCAACTACAGCTGTGGAAGGAAGGAGAACCTCCTGGCTCTTCTTGATGCAGCTGACAGGGATATCTCCATCCAGATGTCAACATTAGGAGGCACCTACAAAGTCCCACAGGTTTGTGTGTGTTTTTCTCCTTCTGGTAAAGTGAGGGGGTGGTGGTGGTGGGTGAGCAATAGATGCAATCATGTCTTCTCCATTAAATTCAATAGCTGCTTTTCTCCATATTCTCAATATTTTACCCCATTATGTTCATGTTGAGATTAATCATAAAAAGCCTGAAATGCAAGCAATACATTCCCTGGAGAAGATATTCTAACAACTTTTTAACTGATCAAAAAATATCCCTGATTGTTGGGACCTCTATTGGCATCTTCATTTTCACAGATAAATAATGCCTGCCCTATCCAGTCAGATTGAAGTTGGCAATAGTAGCATTTTATCCATCTAAAAAGTGGAATAAAAATTACTCTAGCAATTATAGGCCAAATAGACTAGCAGATATTGTGGCTAAAATTTATGCCATGATCCTCTTAGTTAAACTTGAGAAAAATTCATTCCGTGCAGAATATTTTAGGTAGAATTAAAAGCTATATAGATTTTGTAAGAAATAATGCATAAATCAATAATCTAATACTGGCAACAAGTTTGTCCTGAAATATCTAATCTATATCAGTGAGGTAAAATAAGGTTTGCTGCTTTCTAGATGTTAGTGCAGCATTTGACTCAATAAACAGAGAAATATGATGGAGAAAATGGATTGCCCTCAAAATGGAGCTCAGCCTGTTGGCCCTGATCCAAGCCCTTGTTTGAGAGGGAGGATTGGGCTCAATGGAGCCATGAGAAGAAGGATCTATGCTTACCAAGGGGGAAGGGAAAGATGCATATTTGAACCCTTGTTCTTCAATCTAGATGTATATTTTTTTTATTTGATTTATATGCCGCCCTTCTCCGGAGACTCAGGGCAATGCGCTAAGCAATAGCCTTCATCCTTTTGTATATTTATACAAAGTCAGCTTATTGCCCCCACAACTGGGTCCTCAATTTACCTACCTTTGAAAGGATGGAAGGCTGAGTCAACCTTTAGCCTGGCGAGATTAATGATATTAATGACTTACTAGGACTAATGATATTAATGACTTACTAGGACTAATGCAGAATGAAATGTTATTTCATTCTTTGACAAAAATGACTAAATTAGTGGACCAGTGAAATGCAGTGCATGTAGTATACAGTACTTGGATTTCAGAAAGGCTTTGACAAAGTAAACCACAACCTATTTCTTGGTAAGCTGAAAATATGTGGGATAGACAGCATCAGCCCCAGATGGGCTCAGCCTGTGGTCCTCAATGTAACTACATCTGCATGGAGGGAAACAAGCAGTGGGGGACCCCAAGGTTCCATTTTAGGCCCAGTTCTCTTCAACATCTTCATGAATGATTTGGATGAGGGGAGAAATGGGAAAATCATCAAATTTGAAGACAACACTAAAGTGGCAGAAATAATGAACACCTCAGAAGATAGGCTGAAGATCCAGATGGATCTAGGTAGACTTGAACCCTGGGCCTATCTAACAAAATGAAATTTAATGTAGAGAAAAGTAAGGTTTTATACTTAGGCTAGAAAAACCAAATGTACACTTAGAGATTAGGTGAAACCTGGCTCAATAGCAGTAACTGTGAAAGGGATCTTGGAGTCCGAGTGGACAATCACTTAAATATGAGCCAGCAATCTGTGGCAGCAGCCAAAAAAGTCATTGCAATTCTAGATTGCATTAACAGAGAGATAAAATCAAGATCACATGAATTATTGGTACTGTTTTATAATGCCTTGGCAAGACCGCACTTGGAATAGTGCATCCAGGGGACTTCCGGTGGTGATGCAGGTCGAAGTGGCATGGGGAAAGATCGCTCCGTACCCAGTGCCGATTTTCCAGCGTTTTGGTGCCCGTTAAGGGACAGGATCAGTCTTGGTGGGACCGGTAAAAAAGAGGGCAGTCTTCGGAGGAGGTGTGGAGAGGTGCAGTCTCCCACCACACCAAGAAGGACCCTTAATTCGAACGTGGAAGAAAACGGCCGAAATGGCTGGCTCAGAGGTCTGACGCACCGAACGAGAACATCAGGAAGCAGAGAATGAGCACGGTGTGAAGATCGGCGGTGAGAGCAGAGATTTAAAATGTTACAAAACTTTTGGATAAGTGAGAGGAAGAAGAATTTAGATCCCGGAGGGGCAGCTGAAAAGGAAGAAAGACTCAGAGTGGGAGTGGGTGGCAAACAACAAGGAGAGCAAAAGTGGCGAGGGTGAAACTAGACCAGCAGGAAACACCAGAGGAGCGGAAAAAGGACGATCGAGAAAAACGAGTGTTTCGGAAAGCGGTGAAGTGAAGAGAACTGAATATGAGGTGTTGGTTTCACCCTTAGTATAGCTGCTCTAACGAAAGAAAAGTGTGGACCGGCAAAAGTAAGGATATACAAAAGTGACATTGCAGATTTGGAATCGCCATTTTGATATATCGGAGGGAGGAATAATTCTCCAAAAGAAAGACTATACTTGATTTACATTTGAACTTCTTATTGACTAACTAAAAAAAAAAAAGGAACAAGACATTGTGAATAACTTTATATTTATTAACCAGTTGAACAGATAACTAATCTACATTTATTTAATTTATTTGATAATTAATTATAATACTAAATAGCAAATTAGTATATTTAGTAACTATTGACTGTTTATTATTGTCCACATTTCTATAGCTCCTTTCTTTTTGTATTATTATTATTATTTTATTATTCTTTTTGTATTATTTTGTATTATTATACACTTTTGGATTAGATTTTGATAGTTGACTATATCTCTTCTTTATAGCAATTTATTGTTTATTGTAATTTATTGTTTATAGAAAGTATTTAACTTAAGTTAATTTCAGAAAATCATAGGCTGATAACAATAATAGTATAAGATTATTAGTAATTAGAATATTAATTAAGGTATTTTAGTAAATGTTTCAGGAGGATTTTATTTAATTATATTAGTATTGTACTGTATAAGAAAGGAGAGAAAGGAGAGAGGAGAAGGGAAGAAAGAGATAGAGGGGGAAGAGGGGAAGAAAGAAAATTGAGTTAAAAGCAGGTGCTGATTTGGGAAAAAATAGACAGGATTCTAGGAGAACAGTATAAAATTTTGAAGGAAATGACTAGCACCACAACAACTACCGTGAAGTCAGGAAAGAAAATTACCTCAACATTAACTGGATCAACAGCCTCTCCTGTAGCACAGAGAACCATAGAAGGGATGTTCCCAACGGAAAAGCAGACCCCCACCTTGAGTATACAAACTGTCCAGACTACCTTAGTAACAATCCAAGAGACTATGTTAAAGATGCAAGAATGCATGTCTAAAAATCACGAAGAATCAAGGAGAGATCTGGACGAGATTAAAAAAGCAGTTAAAAAGGATATACAAAAATTAGATGAAAAAATGGACTCAATCCAAGAGATAATACAAAAAAACGATCAATGAATTACGGCCATAGGGGGAAAAAACGGAACAAACGGAAGATAAATTAGATCTATTGGATCAGAAAATGATAGGACTGAATAAGGAGTTGGAAAACACGGTGGCACACTTAGATATGGAGAGAGCGGCATTTTATTTAAGATTTCAAAATATGAGAGAAGAAAGAGATGAAGATTTAACACTAGTGATGGCTGGAATGATTGCAGAAGCTCTTCAACGAGATAAAGACAAGATTATTAATGAATTAGATGAAGTCTATAGAGTACATACAAATTACGCTACACAACACAAATTACCACGAGAGTTTCATGTACGATTTGTATGACAGAAAGTGAGAGACATTGTCTTTAAAATAACAAAAGAAGAACCTATGTATTACAGACAGAAAGAAAATTACATTAAAACAAGTACCAAAAAGAATAAGAGAATGGAGAAAAGACTATTGGTTCCTAGCCACAATATTAAATAAGAAACAAATACCACTTAGATGGATAATACCAGAGGGGATGTTGGTGTTGTGGCAGGGGAAAAAGATAAAAGTTGATTCGCAAGATAAAGCACAAACCCTACACGATCAGGTGATAGACATAGAAGGAACAAACAGTAGAAGAGTAGAGCAGGAATGGAGAGTCAAAGGAAAACAAAGGCAAGAAGGACAAGAAACGGTACATGAGGAGGGAAGTATAGATAAAGAAGAAGAGGGAGAAATCCAAGAGGAAGAAGGAGTACAAACAAGAGCAAAGAAGAAGGACAGGAAGTAACAGGAAATAGAGGACAGGACAAGCATTAAAGAATGGATCGGAATTTAAAAATCATATCATTAAACATAAATGGACTCAATTCACCAGCCAAAAGACACCAAATTTTTAGGAAAATAATTAAACAAAAAATGGATATCGTATGTCTTCAAGAAACACATATAAGAAAACAGGACAAAAAATATCTACAATGTAAAAAATTAGGAAAATCATTTGTATCATTAGCAGATGAAAAGAAAAGAGGAATAGTAGTATATATTAAGGAAGAGATAGAAAGCAATTTGAAGTATGCAGATTCGATAGGAAGAATTTTGATGATTGAAGTAAAAGTTAAATATAAACATACAAATACATTTTTATAAAATATAAAAATGTATTATTAGTGGTTATTTATGCACCAAACAGCGGACAAGAAGAATTTTATCAAAAAGTGCATGAAAAAATAATAGAACAAAATATGGAGAATGTATGCTTGATTGGCGATTTTAATGCAATTGTGGACATAAAAAAAGATGCGATCAGAAAAAAAGAAAAAAGAAAAATTTACTGCCTAGAACATTTACAAATTTAATAGAAGAATTAAATTTAGTAGATATCTGGAGATTTTATAACCCAGAAGAGAAAAAATATACATATTACTCTAACCCCCATAAATCCTGGTCCTGAATAGATATGACATGGATTACTAAGACATTGATACAGGAAATAGAAACAGTAGAAATAGTTTTAAACGATTGGGCTGACCACAATCCAGTAATGTTGGAATGGAAAGGGCAACGAAGGAAAAGAAGTAGGTGGATGATGAACATACAGATACTGAAAGAAAAAGAATATATTGAAAAA